TTCACTCCATACAGCGGGTTGAAACTCCTTCTTCTCATCCTTCTCCTTCTCCTTCTTCTCATCCTTCTCCATCTTCTCATCCTTCTCCTATCTTCTCATCCTCTCCTTCTCTTCTTCTCATCCTTCTCCTTCTTTCATCCTTCTTCTCATCCTTCTCCTTCTTCTCATCCTTCTCCTTCTTCTCATCCTTCTTCTTCTTCTCATCCTTCTTCTTCTCATCCTTCTCCTTCTTCTCATCCTTTCTTCTTCTCATCCTTCTCCTTCTTCTCATCCTTCTCTCATCTTCTTCTCATCCTTCTTCTCATCCTTCTCATCTTCTCTTCTCATCCTCTCTTCTTCTCATCCTTCTCCTTCTTCCTCTCTCATCCTTCTCCTTCTCCTTCTTCTCATCCTTCTCCTTCTTTCTCATCCTTCTCCTTCTCCTTCTTCTCATCCTTCTCCTTCTTCTCATCCTTCTCCTTCTCCTTCTTCTGTCCTTCCTCATCTCCAAGGGCATTTAAATTAAAGGTACAGTGTTCTGCACTAATTTAAAGGCTCTCTGAAGCCTAGAAACCCTTTTAATAAGTTAAATTCGTAGCGAATTAATTCGCATCGAATCGAATTTCTTCCTCAAATTCGGCGAATCAGCCGAATCGAATTTTTGAATAATTCGCTCATCTCTAGTGACAGCTCTTTGGATCTCATCTTGACAGTTGACAGCAACAGATTCCAAATACAAATAGCACGCTTGAAATGAACTCTGGACCTTTTATCTGCTCATTGTAATTGGGATAATGAGGGAATAACACACACCTGGCCATAGAACAGCTGAGAAGCCTATTGTCCCATTACTTTTGGTCCCTTAACAAGTGGGAGGCACATATGCAAACTGTTGTAATTCCTACACCGTTCACCTGATTTGGATGTAAATACCCTCAAATTAAAGCTGACAGTCTGCAGTTAAAGCACATCTTGTTTGTTTCATTTCAAATCCATTGTGGTGATGTATAGAGCCAAAAATGTTAGAATTGTGTCCATGTCCCAATATTTATGGACCTGACTGTATATATACACAGTATATGATCAACATGTGTTTTTAACGTATTGCTGTATTTAAGCATCTCTCCCTCTGACTACCCCTATCTCTACAACTATGAATTAATTCCGGCAGCAGCAGCTTGAAGGTTCAGTGGGCAAACTAGCCATTTAGTTCAAGCTGAAATCCACATGGCCACAAACTCAAATCTCATTCCTAGACTGTCATTGCTGTCCTCTCCTCAAAATGCTATGTGCTCAACTTCAACATTTTACCCTCTTGCTCTAAAAACTAGTGTCACCAGCCTGTAACAAACACATGTATTAGGGCTCATTTACATGGCACCACAGATTTTGACTCAGGATCTTACATTATAGTGCTCTGTATGCTGTATGAATATAATGTTTTATCAACTTTCACATGGGTACAGCCTTACATGGGACACCATGGTTGCTCAACTAGATGCTAGGATACAGGCAGCTTCTGCCGCCTGCAGCCTAACAACAAAGGAAGCCAATACTGCCAAGTAACTGGTCTAATCAGGTCTGGTCTTATGGCTGATGGGAGGAGACATTACTTGGCCAATCAAAATCTGCACAGGCAGACATGGCTTCTCCCACCACCTGCCAGATTGGACCTGATTGAGATATTATTATTATTATACAGGATTTATATAGTGCCAACAGTTTGCGCAGCGCTTTACAATATAAGGGAGACAGTACAATTACAATTCATTTCAGTACAGAAGGAATGTGAGGGCCCAGCTCGTGGAGCTTACAATCTAAAGGAAGGGGGAGGTGATACAAAAGGTGATAGCTGCGGGGGGTGATCTGTTGGAGTTGATTCAAGTACAGTTCTTAGGTGGAGGTGGGGTAGGCTTCCCTGAAGAAGTGAGTTTTCAAAGATCGCCTAAAGGCAGACAGGGTGGGGGCTGACCGGACATGCTGTGGTAGGGAGTTCCAGAGGATGGGAGAGGCTCTGGAGAAGTCCTGGAGGTGAGCATGGGAGGAGTTGATGAGGGCGCTAGAGAGGAAGATATCATGGGAGGAATGGAGTGGGCAATTTGGGCGGTATCTGTGGATGAGGTTGGCGATGTAGCTAGGGGCAGTGTTGTGGATGGCTTTGTAAGCTGTGGTTAGTATTTTGAATTGTATACGTTGGGTTAGTGGAAGCCAGTGGAGGGATTGGCAGAGAGGGGCAGCAGTCACTGATCGGTTGGTAAGGTGTATGAGTCTAGCAGCAGCATTCATAATAGACTGAAGGGGGGATAGCCTGTGTAACGGTAGACCAGTGAGGAGGGAGTCACAGTAATCGAGGGTGTGATAAAACCAAGGCATGGGTATGTTGGGGTCAGAGACAGAATCATTTTACAGTGTTGCAGTTCCCCACTGGGTCTGCTCCTGACGGCGAGTGGTAAGATTCAATTCTGTATGTGTAGAATTTGACTGGCTGAGCCATCACAGCGGACCTCATAAGGATAGGCTCTAAAAAGATAACCACTAGCACCTCCCCCACCATCGCAAGTGAATGAATGACTCGTTCATTCAGCCAGCATGTCATTTCAATAGTGTGTAGTCATTTCCGCTGATTCCCCATTGGTGATGTTTACATATTGCCCCTTAGCAGTGGTGGCAGGAAATACACGCCAATAAGCATGTAAATTTTGCAGGGCGGCACAGCTGCGCAAAATCACGTATATATACATGATTTTACAGATCCATGTAGGCAGCGCGCGCTTTTTATTAGCACTGATCACTGTATTAGTGTCACTGGGGATGTCAGTGACACCAAGTCAGTTCCCCCCCGGTGTCAGAATGCCCACCGCAGTCCTGCTATATGTTGCTGATCGCCTCCATTACTAGTAAAAAAAAAAAAAAATCCAGTATATATACTGCCATTTGCAAACGCTGTAACTTTCACGTAAACCAATTAATTTACACATATACGGATTTTTTTTTTAGCAAAGACATGAAGCAGAATACATTTTGGCCTAAATTTATGACGAAATTTGATTCTTTTAATTTTTTTTACTGGATATGTTTATTAGCAAAAAGTCAAAAATATTGGTTTTTTTTTCAAAATTGTTGGTTTTTTATTGTTTATAGCGCAAAAAAATAAAAACTGCACAGGAGATCAACTACCACCAAATGTAAGCTCTATTTGTGAGAAAAAAGGGACGTAAATTTAATTTGGATGCAGCATTGCATGACTGCGCAATTGTCAGTTAAAGTAATGTAGCGCCATATCGCAGAAATGGCCTGGTCAGGAAGGGGGGGGGGTAAATCCTCTGGAGGGCCTATTCACACCAACTATGGTGCAGGAAACATGAATTTTCATACACAGGAATATGTTGCCCTCGATAGACCTGTGTGGGTGCTATTAATTGTTAATAGCACACCAAATGCATCTAGCAAGTGCAGCCACCAATATGCTTGCTACCGTAGTACGATGCGGTTTGATGCAGCATGACTTAAAAGTCGCACTTACTTTTCACATTCTGGTATGAACCTGCCCTAATTATGGTTGAATATATGGCCCTGCAAACACTTTTTTTCTTCTATGCCAAATGTATTGCAAATTTACGCTGCAAGGTGCAGCTGTGTGTAACGACCTATAGAGTTCATTAGGGCTGCATTGAGATGCATACAAATTTATGGGCTGTATGCGTCTGAAGATAGCATTTTCTATGTCCATGTGGTAAAGTCCTTATGGTGACATCAAGCAGTTCATGATATTTTCTAAACACAGGGTGGCTCATCATACTGATAAAGGAAGCATAGCCCCCCTGACATGAACAGATTTGTAGTTTGCTCATGTTGCAAAAAGCAGCAAACTGCATAGATAGCATCTGGAGTGAATAAGTCCTGTCTGAAATGATATAAACCAACATATGAATAATGACCTGCACTTTGAATTCAGTAATTGTAGTCAGTAGTTTTCAGTGGTCAGGGCGGTGGAGCTGCGTTCTATCTCTCTCTTCTCTCTCCCCCTCCCATCACAATCAGTGCAATCAGTGCCACAATGGCGAAGCTGCACTCTTTGTTGGCTGTGTTGGTGCTGATAGCAGTATCTGTTAAAGCCCATGGAGGTTCAAAGGATGTGGATGCGCGTGATAAAGGAGCACAGAAGGCCCTGGAATTTGCTCTACAAGAATACAATAAGGACAGTAAGGACATATATGTTAATCGAGTGTCCAAGATACACAGGGTCCAGAAACAGGTCAGTGCGGGACAATGAGTAAGGATTTTTCAATTACTGAGAGTCAGAGATGCATGACAAATTACCATGCACAGGGATAATATACATGTCCAATAAAAGAGCACAGTACTTTTCTATATAAGCTCCTGCTAGCAGGCATCTGCAGACATCTCATGTCTTTTGTTCCATGGTTATACTTTGTTTCTCTATAATGATGGAAGTAATATATTGGTACTGTCTAAGGAGTCATGTAAATGGTTTTTGCCTACAAATGCTGAGTTTTGCATTCAGATGCAGTGCTACTCAAATGTATGTGCTTTGCCTGCAACATTAGATCGCAGTATGACCTGGTGCATCCAAAAATGCAATAAACAAATCAGACTAAATCCAAGGTTAGAATTGTCACCCGTGCTACAAAATTTAAAACTGAACTGCGGGAAATATTTTAAACTACCTTTAAAGTAGAGCTACCCTACACTGTAAGGGTTAAATTCTTATTTTTTTGTCTAGGGTACCTTTAAATGTAGTTTTTACTTACCCTACACTATGCAACCAGTCCCTCAAAGCACTTCACTTCAGAACCCCAATGATCACATTGAGTGGGGGTGCCAAGGGTCTACCCATACCCTGAAGCATCAGAGGCAAGAGGGAAGTGCTGGCTGGGGTAGCGAGGGGTAAGCTAAGTGCTGGCTTTGCCTACAAATGCTGAGTTTTGCATTCAGACACAGTGCTACTCAAATGTATGTGCTTTGCCTGCAACATTAGATCACAGTGGAACCTGGTGCATCCAAAAATGCAATAAACAAATCAGACTAAATCCAAGGTTAGAATTGTCACCCGTGCTACAAAAATTAAAACTGAACTTCAGGAAATATTCTAAACTACCTTTAAAGTAGAGCTACCCCTACACCGCAAAGGTTAAATGCTCATTTTTGTCTAGAGTACCTTTAAATGTAGTTTTACTTACCCTATACCATGCAATTAGTCCTTCAAAGCACTTCACTTCAACACCCCAACGATCGCATTGAAGTGGGGGTGCTAAGGGTCCTACCACAACCTGAAGCATCAGAGGGAAGAGGAAAGTGCTGGATGGGGTAACGAGGGGTAAGCGAAATGCTGGCTGCTGGGTTAATGAGGGGTAAGGTAAGTAAAACTACTTTCTAAAGGTACCCGAGACAAAAATGAGCATTTAACCTTTGCAGTGTGGAGTGAGCGCCATTTGCAATTGTAGCTTTGGATTTTCCCAAAAGTTCAACTGGAGACACCAACCAAAATATACATTTTATTTTTAGCTTTGGTCAGGGAAGGGTTATAACCTCTTTTGGGTTTTATTGCTGTCAAAATCGTGAGGGAGATTTTACATCACTTTCTGTCCCTATGACAAGGTTATCAGTGAGGTATGAAGGTAAGTAAAATTGCCAATTAATATATAGACAGCAATAAAAAGTTGACAAGGGTTTTACTCTGCCTCTAATCTTTTAAAAGGAGTGCTTTTATTGTTGGCAGTGACCCTGATGGAGATTTCCCCCACTTCCTTGCCTAGCAAAATTGTTACTGGGAAAAGAAATTAGGGGAAATCTCTGTACAGGCATCATGTTCAAACCCTTCCCCATCCTATTCAAAACAACAAAAAATGTTTTTACACAGCATTTCTGATTTGCAGAAGGCAGGAGATGGGGATCTGACATCACACACTGCATGTATAGAGCAGGGAGCTGAGTGTAATCTGAGACCTGACTGGAGGGAAAGGACACCTCCCCTTCAACACAGTCTCATAGATAAATATAGACAGCTGAGGCTGCCAATATCCTGCTGTATATGGAGGATGGGGGTGGGGCTGTCTCCCAGGATTGTTTGGTGTTGTCATAGACTGTCAGAAGTGATTCATGCAGATAGCAGGGCAATGACAGAGCAGACAGACATCACAGTATAGTACACTATAGAAGGATATGCTCTTTTCATTTTTCTTTTCAAAGGTCTACAACCACTTTAACGTTCTAGGGTCACAGCATACATTTTCATTTTATAACATTACCATTGTAATAACAATACAAAAAATTGTTATATTTGACAATCCAATATAAGCTTGCTTCTGGTTGTGAGTTCTGCTTGTCTCCTGGCCATCTTTGTCCACAATGTCCTGGATTCCCTGCCTTCTTTTCAGCTGTTAGCTTTCAATTTCTAATTCTACATATCCCATGGTGGCCAACCTTACCCCAGCTCTACCGCTATATTCAAGATTCAGAAACTGGGGACCGGTATTCTGGCTTTATTAGAAATTATTTTATTGGCTACATATAAAATGACACAGCATCAAAAAAATACAACGCATTTCGGCTTATACAGCCTAACTCAAAGCATACAATGAGGAATACCGAATAAGCTGAAACGCATTGCATTTTTGATGCAGTGTCATATTATATGTAGGCAATAAAAGGATTTCTTTATCAAGCGTACATTGAGTGGCCGGCTCTATACATATCCCATGATACCCTGCAAGCAGTGATTCCTGTACTGACTCCGCCTCCTGAAGCTCCTCCTCTCAGCACCCTTGTAGTTCAGAAGGCAGACTCTGTGAAATATGTGACACAGCAGTACCTACTCACAGAGCAAAGTGAATATGTGTCCTAGAAATCATGGATGTAATAGTGTGGGGATTGTTTACAAACTTCAAGATCACTCAGAGTAATAGGAGTGGGCTAGATATAACTGAAATACAATGTGGAAATGAATATGTGATTTTACATTTTGACCATAGATATACTTTTGGACCCCTTTCAGAGAAAGGGTCTGATCAGGTCTGCCTGTCAGTTTTTCAGGCAGACCTGATTTGGCCCTCCATTCAGCCCTATGGACTAGTAGGTGTAAATGGAGTTACTGTATATCCATTTACACCCGCCTACCTCCAATCTGATCCTGTCTGATACAAAAAAAAAAAAGAAAGGAAATGGGAGGGGATCTGTCCCCCTCCATCTAGGTGGATCAGATTGGAGGGCAGTCAGTTGTAAATGGACAGTGGAGTCAGTTTACACCCAGTTGCCCACAAAGTCGAGCCGGCGCTGTCCATGTCTGCTATTTACTGAGCGGACACGGACCTGTCATCTGCCCATTCTGCTCTAATCAGCAGGGGATCAGCAGACTGATCAAAATGGAGTGTTCCTTACCGCAAAGATAACATTTGTTGAAAACATTGTACAAATAATAACCCTACAGATAAGAGGCCCCAATAGCATTTTTCTTTGTTGACTTTGTCCATCTCCACCTAGTATTGGACTTTGACACTGCCTCTTGTTGTACTCTTTCATTATATCATAGCCCATCTACTACATAAATAGTACTGGACATCCGGTGCCACCATCTGTAATTATAAACAATTACAGGGGCATAATAAACAATTTAAAGCATTATCATAGTTCAAATTAAAAAGTTCAAAGTATAGAACCCACATAATGCCATATTAGGTTACCTGTAGATAAAGATTTTACATTCATTCTAATGTTTTGCAAAAGTTGTCTCGCAAAAATCAAGGAGAATCAATTTGGACAAATTATTATAACTGTACAGGCTTGAATATTTACATTTGTTGCAGTATTTCTGTTGATCTGCTTTGTGTCTCCTTTGCTGGAATCGGGGATCAGACATCACCACACACTTTCAACCAGTTGTGAACATGCATAGAAGCAATAAAACCTAACTCCAGGTATTAATGAAGTTTAAATAGTCATTTGGACCAAGCTGGTTCAACAAACTATTACCTTCACTAACGCATAAAACAGCTGTCAGCGCTGTATGGACTGTATACAGCCTTAGCCAGGGGTGGACTGACAACTCATGGGGCCCCCGGGCAATAGGGGATCATGGGGCCCCTGTGTCCTTGTCCAAGCTCAAAAAAGCCTATGAAAAAAAAGGTACCAGGGGCATCTCATGGGGCTCCTTACTGACCCCGGGTGTTTCCAAATGGTCAGTCCGCCCCTGGCCTTAGCTACATACAGTATACAGTGCTGTGCTCTGACAGTGGGACAAGAACCTTCCATCCCACTCCCGCAACAAGATCATGTCGGGCTGAGTGATGCTCAGCCATTCACAGGAATCTTTGCATTTTCTGAATGTATACAAAGCTTCCTCTGATTTTGGAGATCTGCCTGCCTCTCCACCTTCAGTTCCACTTGAAATCCGTGTTGCACATCAGCATTTCTGCCCCTTCCAAAGCATTTGTTCTGTGTTTACACTAGGGGTTAGAGGGCTGGAAGGCTGCCAAGTCACTGCTGGGAGGGAGGAGCAGGGTGAGTTGAGCAATCAAGATGTAGGAGCATAAAGCCATCTTGTAAATGTGTGGCAGATATTTGCACCCAGTTGAAAATTTGATGGGTAGTGAGATGGTGACTGCCTGTTTCAACCCTGCAAATGCTGCTGAAAATATATAAAATAATGGCATACAGCAGCCATTCTCAACCTTTTCAACACCGAGGAACCCTTGTAATAACTTTTCAGACTCAGGGAACCTCTGCTAATAATTACTATATCTACAGATCATGGTACATTAGCATGATGATCACTGGGAAGAATGCCCCATACATGTATGGTCATTGGGAAGAATTACACCTTTACAGAGATCTAGAAGATCACTGGTGTCAGTGGTTTCTCATCCTAGAAGCAGAAGTTGTCCATTACTCAAAGAACCCCTAGAAATCTCTGGAGGAACCCTAACTGAGAAAGGCTGCAATACAGCACTTACAGTATTTGTATAATGTGTTTGTACAAAAATTTACATGATCTCTCTCTCTCTCTGTTTTTTAAGACTGTTACTGGAATGAAATATATTATAGAAGTTGATATTGGCCGAACTGAATGTAGAAAACCGACCTCCAATCCTGAGGACTGTGCTTTTCATACAGACCCCTACATTTCTAAGGTATTGTAGAATTTTGCAAAGTGAAATAGATACTTATACATACTGTATATTGCTTAATGATTACATTTATTCTGATATGGGTGTATTGGAGCAGTCTGACAGTTCATGTGGGCAGCACAGTGGCTAAATGGTTAGCACTTCCGCCTAGCAGTACTAGGGTGGTTGGTTCGAATCCCAGCCACGACACCTCGTGCCTGGAGTTTGCACGTTCTCCCTGTGCCTGCGTGGGTTTCCTCCGGGTACTCCGGTTTCCTCCCACATTCCAAAGACATGCTGGTAGGTTAATTGGATCCTGTCTAAATTGGCCCCTGTATATGAATGTGAGTTAGGGACCTTAGATTGTACACCCCTTGAGGGTTAGGGACTGATGTGAATGTACAATATATATGTAAAGTGCTGCATAAATTGACGGTGCTATATAAGTACCTGAAATAAATAAATGTGTAGACATGTGAAGCATGATGACAGATCACTGCTGTGGCTAAATAGAGCTTATTATACACACAGGGCACAGTTTAATAACAATATATTTGTAAAGAAGTGTGTTCCATAAAAGTATGCTGCAGCACTAACCTGTGCTGTGTATAAATTTCACCTTCCACATGACAGAGTGTATGGTGGTTATTCTGTACAAACTGACATGGATCAGAGCACATATCAATGTATGTACTCTAAGAACTGTGGTTACTTCATCTCAGACTACCTTCAGATACAATTTCACACTGCATGTCTTATTCTGACTAATCATTATCAGGTCCAGAGCATTCAGTTAAATTTCTTAAAGTGGTTGTAAATCTATATAATAGTCTTTAGAAGGATAGGGCACATCACCAGAGATCCATATGAATGAGAGCAATGATTATTATTATTTTAAAATTTTTATTTAACTCCCCAGGGAGCCAAATGCATATAGCATTCTGATTGGTGGCTCCATTGTCACCTAAATATACCTCATAATGCTAGCTGTAGTTCCATCCCATTTCAAAACCCAAATTATGGGAGTTCCTGTGGAGAAGGTACAGCCTGGAGAGAGCTCTGCCCATTCTCTAAACTGAGTGATCTGTTGCTATTATGAACAGAAGAAATCATTAGAAATCATGGGGCCCCATACAGCCTACCTCACAGGCTTTCCCCCAACCCCAGAAATGTTCTGATCGCTCACTGTGTTCATTCAGGAAAGAAAGGGGCTGGTAAATATGACATATTTACGAGGCCCTGTGCTCTCCATCCTGAAATATCCACCTGTGTCCCTTCAGCAGCTTCAGACCAAAGGGGAGGAAAGCAACTCTGCAGTGAGAGAGGCACATGGAGGGGGCACAGTTTAGAAGATATTTACCTGTGTAGCTGCCACGGTGATGTCACCAGTGCATGCGCTCTGAAGGAACGGTATACCCGTGCTGTTCCTTCAGAGCCCTGTGCTGTAAACAATGACTCCCACGTGCATGCCTGGGACTGACGTCATTGCAGCTCGGCCATTCAAGCAGCCACAGCGAGCGAGCTCAGAAGAAGATTGGGTGAAGATGGATTCCCTGTCAGAGGTGACAGGGCGCCGCTGGAGGGATCAATTTCACAGGTCTGTCATAATATAGTATGTTGCACATACTAGTACATTACAACTTTACCTTGGGGGGGACCAGTTGTTTTTTTTTTAGCAGAGGTTTACTACCACTTTAAGATTAAAAAAAACCTTCTGGGTGCAGCTCCTCCCTCATATTTCCTTGAGCCCACTCTTGATCCAGCAATGTGCATGAGAGACGCCACTCTTCCAGGTATCTCTGTCCTCATTGGCTCACACAGCAGTAGGAGTGGCTCCTGCTGCTGTCAATCACAGTCAGTGAGCCAGTGAGGACAGAGCTGGTGGCAGGGCCAAGCCTGCTTGACTGCGCCCATAGCAAGAGGCTTGCTATTGGGAGTACTTGGCAGGGGAGAGGAGCTAGGAGGGCTGGCAGAGGACCCAAAAAGAAGATGGTTCTGTGCAGAACCATTGCACAGAGAAGGTAAGTATAACATGTTTGTTTGTTTTTTTCTTTTAAATTACAACCTTTACAATCACTTTAGGCTGGCCATAAATTATTTTTTGTTTAGCCAGCAGGGACTCTGCTGTCAGAATACAGCCAGCTGATCAAGAGAAATTTTCCAACAAACCTGTTTAACAGAGGTCAATCTACAATAAACTTCTTTCTAATAGGCACAACCACGTACGGGTTAAAATTCAGCCCGTCTGAACATGCCATATTTCTATTCATCCATGGCCAGCATTACAATATCACAGCAAAATTCCTTATTTAGCCTGTGCAGCTCTAATTAGGGATATAAGCTGCTGTACAGGGGCTGCAATTAAGTCAAAATTGGATATTTATTAAAGTATTTAAAATTAAATGTAATAATTTAAAAAAATACATAACTGCATTCATTTATTTTGTGCTTTTTTAATATCTGCCTTGGGTTGAGCACTAAAGTGTATGTAAACCCTAATACTTTCTGTTATTTGCTCCATTTGGTCCACTTCTTTGAGAGTACAAAAGTCCAAAAAAACGCTTTTTGAACCCTAAAAAAATTAAGCCAGCTGATAGTTACCTGTACTGCATTGCTGCGCTGCATTCTTATTAGTTAGTATTGTTCCGAGTTATCTTTGTGAACTACAGAACATCCTCCTGTTCTGTAGTCCCAACTCTCTTCCTGTCCTAGCGGGCATAGATATACAGTTGTGTTCAAAATAATAGCAGTCAGACATCACTAACCTGATCAATCACTGTTTTTGGTAGAAATGATATTTCTACATGGCAAATAATTTACTAGCAGGTGTAGTAGAGTAATAGAAATCCAACAGACCGAACAGTCATGACATGCATGCTGCTGATTCTGTTTAATTGAATCACTAATTGAAAGGGGCATGTTCAAAATAATAGCAGTGTGGAGTTCTATTAGTGAGGTCATTCATTCTTTGAAAAACAGGTGGCAATTATTGCCCTTATTTAAGGAAGGAAGGCAGCAAATGTTGTACATGCTGGTTACAGTGCATTTCTCTCTGAAATTCTGAGTAAAACGGGCCGTTCCAGACATTGTTCAGAAGAACAGCGTACTTTGATTAAAAAGTTGATTGGAGAGGGAAAAACATATAAAGAAGTGCAGAAAATGATAGGCTGCTCAGCTAAAATGACCGCAAATACTTTAAAATGTCAACCAAAACTTGAAAGATGTGGAAGAAAGCGAAAAACTACCATTCTAATGGATAGAAGAATAACCAAAATGGCAAGGACTCAGCCAACAATCAGCTCCAGGAAGATCAAAGAAGGTGTAAAGTTACCTGTGAGTACTGTTACAATTAGAAGACGCCTATGTGAAGCCAAGCTATCTGCAAGAAGCCCCCGCAAAGTCCCACTGTTGAAAAAAGACGTGCTGAAGAGGTTACAATTTGCCAAAGAGCACATTGACTGGCCTAAAGAGAAATGGCGCAACATTTTGTGGACTGATGAAAGTAAGATTGTTCTTTTTGGGTCTAGTGGCCGGAGACAGTTTGTCAGACGACCCCCAAACACTGAATTCAAGCCACAGTACACTGTGAAGACAGTGAAGCATGGTTGCACAAGCATCATGATATGGGGATGTTTCTCATACTACGGTGTTGGGCCTATTTATCGCATACCAGGGATCATGGATCAGTTTGAATACATCTGAATACTTGAAGAGGTCATGCTGCCTTATGCTGAAGAGGAAATGCCCTTGAAATGGGTGTTCTAACAAGACAATGACCCCAAACACACCAGTAAACGTGCAACATCTTGGTTCCAGACCAACAAGATTGATGTTATGGAGTGGCCAGCCCAATCCCCGGATCTTAATCCAATAGAAAACTTGTGTGGGGTGACATCAAAAATGCAGTTTCTGAGGCCAAACCAAGAAATAGAGAACTGTGGAATGTAGTCCAATCATCCTGGGCTGGAATACCTGTTCACAGGTGCCAGAAGTTGGTTGACTCCATACAACACAGATGTACAGCAGTTCTCAGAAACTGTGCTTATACAACTAAATATTAATTAAGTGATTCAAAGGAAAGCAAAATCTTCAAAATTTTTCAGTTTATATAGTGAATGTTTGAGTTTGTAAAGAAGAATACAAACACTGCTATTTTTTTGAACAGTCTAATATTCACGTTTCTTTAATTTATTTGGAGGAACAACACAAATTTGATATATTTTTCTTCATGTTTTGATTTGGAATAGAATGTGTAGTGTTCCCAATGCATTTGTGTTTATGGAAATAAAAGCTATTAAAAGGATTTTGAGCTTTATTCACTTTTTTCAACACACTGCTATTATTTTTGAACACAACTGTAGCTCTGAAGATACAGTACAATGAGTGATCATTGTCACCTTAGAACAGGGAGTTTGTTACTGGCAGAGTCACCAGGTGAAAATAAAGGAAGAGAGCCTGAAAAACTAGTGTACCTTCTACAACTAAGGACTGATAAGCTGCAATATATTACATTTATTTGTGTTTATCTGCATTCGTGTTTAGAAGCAAGGGAAATGGTCAGTCCTAAAGTGATGTTTTAGTTCTAGGTGGAACTTGGGGTTAAGGCCTTGGCTTCTTATATGGTTTGGACATTTAATCAGCAAGATCTCCCTTCTATAATTATCTTTTTCTGTCCACCTGGAAGTTTTATGAATTCTCCCCACCACTGTGCATTACAAGATTTGAATTTGTGTTTCTCGTAAAATAAAATACATTAAAATCTGATAGAGTCAGTGTGCAGGTGCGCAAATATCTTACCAATAATGTCCCTGGGAGATGGATGGGACCATGGGGTTGGTTAGTTCTTTAGCAGCTACTACATTTGAAATATTACATTTGGGTGGACTAATCCATTAACTTATTAATGTAGGTGTATGTTTCTGTTTCACCTAGTACATGCATTTAATGCTTTATCTGTTTCTTTTCTTATAGACTACATTCTGCCATTTTGAAGTCATTTCTATTCCATGGCTGAAACAAAAAGAAATGAAGGAGAGTAAATGTTACTGATTCCTGATAACAACAGTATGCTTCTCTAGAGATTTATTACATTTCTCTGATGCTTAAAATATATACCGATTATATTACAAGAACTACAGGCTTAGGTATTCTCATATAATAACTACCGTAGTTAGTTCATTAATGAAGAATAAAACATTTGTTTTGGAAGAAAGAAGCACTAATTCTGTTTTTATTGGTTATATCACCAAAAAGACTGGGCAAATCTAGCAAACCTGGAACACTTTAGGGCTCATTCCCTCTGTCCGTACACTAAACACTCTGTTTTAGTATGCAGGCATCTGCAAATTTTAGGCTGCAGTGAGGGGGCAAAGTGATGCACATTTCAATGCATGGCATTGTTTAGATTTATAAAAGGAAAATGTATTTGGAATGCACCAAGTGACTCTTCATTCATGCCTCCACAAAGCAGCATGGTGCAAACCCATGCACTGCAGGAAAATGTGACATGTCTTTATTTGTTTGCACAGCACATCCCACCAGCAATTGTTTTCTATGTGTAACTAGTGTTTATCCAGTGCGGAAAAATGCCAGCCATCACACATAGTGGGAATAAGCTCTAAAGCCCAACTCAGGCACAACAAATCAAAAATCTTTGTGGTCCCTCCACACTTCATGGCTTAAATACTCATGGCTAGGGGTTCTGGAATAGAGAGGAAATACCTTATTTAGCGATCCAGCAGGGTCCCTCCAGCAGTGCAACCTGTCTTCCACAGCCAATCGGTTCCCACCAGGTGCCAGCATATGTTTCCATTCTATATTTACATGTTTTGAGGCATGTTGGTGCATGCTTCCATTCGTTTTTTAATTCACAATTTGGACTGGATAGAACTAACAGTTATTAACAAAGGCTGCTTAATACCTGTTGCTGATGCATCAAAATAGATGTTACAGTATCTCACAGAAGTGAGTACACCCCTCACATTTTTGTAAATATTTTATTCTATCTTTTCATGTGACAACACTGAAGAAATGACACTTTGCTACAATGTAAAGTAGTGAGTGTACAGCTTGTATAACAGTGTAAATTTGCTGTCCCCTCAAAATAACTCAACACACAGCCATTAATGTCTAAACCACTGGCAACAAAAGTGAGTACACCCCTAAGTGAAAATGTCCAAATTTGGCCCAATTAGCCATTTTCCCTCCCTGGTGTCATGTGACTCATTAGTGTTACAAGGTATCGGGTGTGAATGTGGAGCAGGTGTGTTAAATTTGGTGTTATCGCTCTCACTCTCTCATACTGGACACTGGAAGTTCAACATGGCACCTCATGGCAAAGAACTCTCTGAGGATCTGAAAAAAAAGAATTGTTACTCTACATAAAGATGGCCTAGGCTATAAGAAGATTGCCCCCCCCCCCACCACCACCACCATTACCACCATTACCACCACCACCATTACCACCATTACCACTACCACCACCACCACCATTACCACCACACACACTCTGCTTCCTGGGATGGGCAACTCACATATCCCAGGAGTCATTGTCTTTCATTCACAAAGGAGGAGGGGGGTGGGCCTAGTGGTGCATCATGGGTAGGCCTGCTGGCAGAACCCGAAAGGGCCAACAGCCTCCTGAAGACATCACAAAGAACATGGCCACGCAGGAACCAATCAATGAAAGAAGAGAAGACGATCTCATCAGGACAACGCTAGATCCGATGGTTGGGTAAGTATCTGAACTGTGCAGAGACTGCAACCTAGTAAGCAGAGGTTTAAACTTCCATTATCAGCACACTAAAATCCAGAAAAAAATTATTGTATTTTCAAAATACACTGCACTGCAGCTCTGAGTTGGGAAAACACTATGTTTACAATGTATTATAAGGAACTTAAACTCATGCATTTTAGCATGTCCAAAAGGATGTGTTAAAATGAACCTTAGGCGGTAACCTGTACTGAGAGAACATTGAGGCTACCCCTTCTGAACTGGCCTTTTGAAAAAGCTTTTTGCTTGGTTAACACACTGATCCAATTCCTTCTGAGGTACACACTTTATGTAAACTGTTACAGTACTCCCAGGATCCCTGCTGGGTCTTCCACGATTTCCATAACTTTTAAAGAATCCAGTACTCCCAGGACCCATGTCGGGTCTTTTAGGATTCCTAGGATCTACAGTAATCACAGAGTCCATTTTGGGTTTTCCAGGATTCCTAGGACCTCCGCTACTCACAGAATCCATGCCAAGTAGTTTAGGTTTCTTAGGACCTCCTATGTTCACAGTATCCATGCCAGGTCTTCTAGAATTGCTAGGACCTTCAGTACTCACAAATCCATGCCAGGTCTTCTTTGATATCTAGGACCTCTGGTACTCATAGAATCCATGCCATGTCCTCCAGGATTCCTAGGACCTTCAGTACTCATAGATTCATACCAGGTTTTCTAGGATTCCTAGGGCCTCCAGTACTCATAGGATCCGTGCCAGGTCTTCCAGGATTCCTAGGACCTCCAATACACACAAGATTCATGCCAGGTATTCCAAGATTCCTAAATCCCCAGTTCTCACAGAATCCATGCTGGGTCTTCCAGGAGAATATATTACATTTTTATTTTTGGGTTTAATACTGCTTTAAACATCAGACTTTGAGTGGCCGCTAAAGAGCCACAAAACTTACCTGCGAGTTGCCTGTGTTTTGTTTTTTTTTTTTCCGACCCACATTTACCTGACTGCTTTCTTGTTTGCTGCCCAAACCTCTCTTTGGACTTGACTACTTTCTTACCTACCACCTGCCTCAACGCCTCCTGGACCTGACTAGTCTCTCGTCTGCATCCCTGTGAGCAATCTACGCACTCAGCATTTATGTTTTAGCCACACCCTTGGTGGAGTGATCCTGAGGGCTATGATCTGATGTCCGTTTGCAGCAAAGTAAACTGAGACCACTATGGTTTCTGGCCCAGGTCCACCATCTTGAACTTTGGTGAAGACCAGCTGCGCCTTAGCTTCTGCACCTTGGGTGAGGATTGTAACACAAACCTGCTGATCAGGAATTCTGACTTCACTGTCTGCATGCTCATTTCAGGTCAGTGATTCAGAAAGTACTGAAGCCAGAGATAGCAGACAATGTTTCCGCAGGTCAGCAAAGACAGCCCTTGTTTTTCCCTAAAGCTTAATTTACGCTTGAAGTTGGAGGGGGTGGTAAAAATAGGCAGTTTGGCCATGGTTTTACTGCTCAAGACTGCACCCCTAAAGTCTGTTCAAATATGCACTGTATTCCTAAGTCAGAGAAGTACCTTCTTTTGCTCTCAGCCTCCTAAAAAATCCTTTATTTTCTGCTGTGATCCGACTTCCTGTTGGAGGGTGGCTACATTTGTTCTCCATGTTCCCACTGTATACACAAATGTAGTCACCCCCTCTTGCTCACTCCTGAGATGGATTATGGGATTTGTAGTGAAACAAGAGCACAGTACATGATCACAGCTAGAGTACTATACTTGTTACAAACAAATGGAAATGAGGGAAAAGGAGAGGTTTTGGAATCCACTGGGTATGTTACAAGGAGGCAGAAATACAAAGTAAAATACAATTTTAGGAAAACTAGATTACATTAACTAATAGATGTGCATAGATAATTTCTGAAAATAAGGATGTTGTTTAAAGCCACTTTAAAGTAGTTCTAATTGTAAAACATTTGTTTACCCTAATGCATTTGCTGCATTCAGGTAAAAAACGTTTTGCCATTTGCTGTGCCCCCCTCCCCCCGAAAACACTTACCTAAGCTTTGTATTGATCAGCACTGTGCCCTGGTGATGGTCTTCTACACTGTCTCTTCTCATAGGAAGACTGGGCAGCAGTCTAGGGTTTACAGAGAATGGTCCAAAAAAGAGAAAATATCCAGTGAGTGGCAGTTGTTTGGATGAAAATGCCTTGTTGATGTTAGAGGAGAATCGGCAGACTGGTTAGATATGGTAGAAAGGCAACATAAACTCAAATAATCATTCATTACAACCAACCAAGGCCATCTCTGAATGCACAACACATCAAACCTTGCAGCAGATGGGCTACAACAGCAGAAGACCATACCAGGTGCCACTCCTGTCAGCTAAGAAAAGGAAAAGGAGTCTACAATTTGCACAGACTCACCAAAATTGGACAATAGAAGATTAGAAAAACTTTGCTTGGTCTGATGAGTCTTGATTTCCCTAGAGACGGTTATGCGTGAAATCCCAGTAGATCAGCAGTTTTTAAAATACTCAAACTAGCCCATCTGGCACCAACAACCATGCCATGTTCAAACTCACTTAAATCCCCTTTTTTCCCCATTCTGATGCTGAGTTTGGACTTCAGCAAGTTATTTTCACCACACCTAGATGCCTAAATACATTGAGTTGCTGCCAAGTGATTGGCTGATAGTGATGGGCTGAACACCCCTCTGTTCAGTTCGCAGTCAAACATATGACCCTACTGAAAGTTTGACCACGAACTTCGAACAGGGACAATTTACTGAGCGGTATCTTACCGCATCTGGGTATGTGGTAAGATACTGCTCAGTTACTAAAATACCACGAGTTATATTAAGTCATGCGTTATTTTAGTAGTGAAACATTCATTCATGTTTCACCTGTCAGCAGGGTTCCCCACGGACAGCTGAATGTCAAAAGTATTGTCAGCATTGCCCAACAATTACAAAAAAAAAAAAAAAAATGTCTTGGGGTCCCCCTCCCATCCATACCAAGTGCTTCGGGTCTGGTATGGATTTTAAGGGGAACACCCCACGCCAAAATTTTAAAAAAATGGTGTGGGGGCCCCCCTCAAAATCCATACCAGACCCTTATCCGAGCATACAGCCAGCAGGTCAGGAAAGGGGGGGGGGGGGTCAAGCGAGTGCCCTCCCCACTCCTGAATCATACCAGGCCACATGCCCTCAACATGAGGGGTGCTTTGGGGCAGAGAGGGCCCCCCAAAGCACCTTGTCCCCATGTTGATGGGGACAAGGGCTCTTCCCCATAACCCTAGCCGGTGGTTGTGAGGGTCTGCGGGTAGGAGGCTTATCAGAATCTGAAAGCCCCTTTTAACCCCCCCTATGTGAATGAGTATGCGTTACATGGTACTGCTGCCCATTCACAAAAAAATAAAGTGTAGTGTAAAAAAAAGACAGGAGACAGTCTCTGAAAAGTCCTTTATTAAAAATGAAAAAATGTCCCCTGAAGTAGATCCAACAGCAATCACAATGCTCGCCACCAACCTGAAAAAAAAAAAAAAAATTCACTCCGCTCTCAAGGCTGGCTCCTGCCGGCTGATAGCTGCACCAGGATGACAGTTCTTAAGTAGAGTAATGACGTCACAAGGAGGTGGGATCGCCCCACCCCCTGTGACATCATCGTGCCCTGTGATTGGCCGAAGCACTGTATCTGACCTGTGGTCAGGTGTAATGCTTTAGCTAATCACAATGCACTGTCAGGGTGCAGTGCATTGTGGGGCACGGGGGTGAATAGCCCGCCAATTACCTGTATCATTCGTGTGTTCACCAAAACACCAGTACAGCCCATGTTCGAGTCGAACACGCAGCCCATTATTATTGGCCGATTAGTTATTTGTGTTACCACACAATTGAACAGGTGTACCTAATAAAGTGGCCGCGGAGTGTATGTGGTTGTGGTGCGGGATTCACAGGGTTAAACCAGGCGGCAAGGAGGCAACATGTCGCCTTCCAGCCACCTGGTTAATGCAGGCCATAGACGGGTTGAAAATTGGCCGTTTAAAAAAAAAAAAACACGAAAAATCGGTCTTTCAATTGGCCGACGTTACCACCAACGGTAAAAAAAAAAAAAAAAAAAAAAAAAAAAAAAAAAAAAAAAATCGGCCGATTTTCATTTAGTCTACGGCCAGCATTTTTACTTCTGTCCCTGCAGAGAGCTCCGCTATTATATTTTACATAAAAAAGTCTTGCGGTTGCAACAATGTATCCATTTCGGATACAGATGGTTTTATTCAAATACAAATACATTGTTGCAACCACAAGACTTTTCATATAAAATATATTAACGGACTGTTATTCTTTTTCTATTCTTCTTTTTCTTCTTCTTGCAGGTCATGGCTCATGCGCAGATTTTTTATCGGTAAAATGATCGTCCGATTTGCCCGTCATTGCTGGGAAAATCAGCCAATCGTCAAAATAGGTCGCAAATTTTCCAACTTTACCAATAAAAAAAAATGTGCCCAAACCCCGAAAAACGGCCGACCAATTAACCCACTAACGGTGCGAAAATCAGCCAATTTTTTTTCGACCCGTCTATGGCCAGCAAAACACTCTTTGAAAAGCTATCTACTGGGGATCGTTCTTCAGAGAGCGATGAATGCATAATTGAGTCTTACAGGACACATTTTGTCTCGTTTGCATAGAATGTTGAAAACATTACAGCCATGGAAAGAAAGTGAAGTTCTAAGAAGATACAAGTTGTGTACATTGTATACAGTCTGATGCAGGGGCAGACTGACAACTCATGGGGCCCCTGGGCAATAGGGGATCATGGGGCCCCTGTGTCCTTGCCCAAACTCAAAAAAGCCTATGAAAAAGGTACCAGGGGCATCTCATGGGGCCCCCTACTGACCTCGGGCAGTTCCTGAGTTTCCAAATGGTCAGTCCGCCCCTGGTCTGATGATCACAGCATTGAACGTTCATTTTGTTGCAGATGCAAGTTGAAAAGGAAAACCGTTAGATACAAACTGCAATGTAACTACCGAGAGCTGTGTAGAGATTTCTCCTACTTCTATTAGAACACTAGAACGAATTCACATCGCCTGACCAGAGAGATAAAAACTGCTGAGCACAGTGTGTAAACATTTCCATCCATATCACATGTCTCTACAAACACCAACAGAAACACAATCCGCTATCCCAGCAAACACTAAGCCACTTGTGTTCACGTGACCCAAGCCAACGCCTTGAGCCGACATGTCTACTTTGGGCAGTCTGGTGCCTTTATTAGTATTTTTTATTTCATAGTACATTTTTTTTTACAAAACCATACACATACCAAATATGGCTTCGTATAAACTTCACATATTAGTGGCTTCTTATTCTCTTACAGCGCTATTTAAAGTTTGATTGTTGCCCACAAGAAAGATGACGCCGGCATTCCAATGGGAAACCCTTAGCCGTTAAGAACCATTTCGTCGTTGGTTCTTCATTAGTCATGGCGAAGCTTTTGTATGCAGCGGCGGTGTTGTTGCTCTTTGCAGCCTGCTATGGGGCGATGTTGGTCGGGGCTCCGAGGGAGCTGAGTGTTGATGATGAGAATGTGAAGGACGCGCTGAAGTATGCCATGTACGAGTACAACAAGGCCAACAATGATATGTTCCAGAGCCGCCCAGTGAAGGTGCACAACGCCACCGTGCAGGTGAGTGAGGTAACGGTACTGTGCCCGCATCGGCATCCCTCTTCTCAGACTGGAAGCATCAACCGAGAGATGAGGGGACATTATTAGCTCTAATTAGAAGGCATCATAAGGCAATTCGCTTCTTCAAATCCGAAAACATTCCTAGTTTTACAAATAGCTTATTGTCAAAATGTATCTCTGGTCTAAAAAAAAAAAAAATATATATATATATATATATATATATATATATATATATATTATATTTTTTTTTTTTTTCCTTTAAGTATTGTTAACCACTTGAGTGCCAGCCTGCAGGGCCGTAATCCCTCAAGAATGCATGAAAAAGTGTTCAGGAAACCTCCATTTTGGCAACATGTACCGTGCTTGTACACCATTCTTTGTTAATGGCCCCCCCCAAGCACGGTTAGCAGACTCACATTTTGTCATGTGGCAAAATGCACCAAATTGCATGATACTTTGTGTCCAAAAAAAGGTTCTGGAGCTTCTTTGTCACATGTGAATGACCTGACCTATGTGCAACGTGTGGAAATGTGTAAAAAAAAAAAAAAAAGAAACGTGTGTTCCTAGAAGTGAACTAGCAGTGTAAATGGGGACTAATACCTGTCCATTACCAGCATGTTTTTCTGTTATCGGTGTTGTGATACTTTGAAGAAGACTGTCATGCAACATTGTACCCAAATTAGCCAGTTCCTGCTGGGCCTATAGCAGATTGACGGTCAGGCGGGACTCTTCGTCTGGGATGGCGTCCTCCCGGTCATGCCGCTTGTGTTCACGGCGATTAGTGGTGAGCCTCAGTGCATCACTACTCAGGCTAGGTTCATATTTGTGCGGGTGGTGCCTCTACGGATATAGACGAAAATCCATGCAGCCGCACCACCCGCACAGAGAAATGAGGACCCGTGGGCCATCCCCAAACTGTTCCCACAAAGTTGGGAGCATGAAATTGTCTGAAATGTCTTGGTATGCTCACGTCTTAAGTGTTCCTTTCACTGGAATGAAGTGCCAAGCCCAACCCCTGAGAAACAACCCCCCCCCCCCCCCCCCAAAAAAAAAAAAGCTTCACACTTGGCACAATACAGTCAGGCAAGTACCTTTCTCCTGGCAACTGCCAAACTCGGACATGTCTGTGGGATGGCCAGACAAATGCATGATTCGTCACTCCGGAGAACACATCTCCACTGCTCTAGACTCTAGTGGCAGCATGCTTTACACCACTGCATCCAACACTTTGCATTGCACTTGGTGATGTAAGGTTTGGATGCAGCTGCTCAGCCATGGAAACCCATTCCATGAATCTCTCTATGCACTGTTGTGCTAATCTGAAGGCCACACAAAGATTGCAGGTCTTTAGCTATTGACTCTGCAAACAGTTGGCGACTTCTGTGCGCTTCAGCATGTGCTGACCCCGCTCTGTCATTTTATGCAGCCTACCACTTCGTGATTGAGTTGCTGTTGTTCCCAGTTGCTTCCACTTTGTTATAATACCACTAACAGTTGACCATGGAATATTTGGTAGCAAGGAAATTTCACGGATGGACTTATTGCAAAGGTGGCAACCTATCACAGTACCACGCTTGAATTCACTTAAGAAAAATAAAAAATGGTGCCGTGCCCTTATATTAAACCTATATTAAGATTAAATAAAAGTATTAGCAATTAAATGAAAATATTAACATAAATTACTTAATGTAAATCAAATCTTCAATTCATTTAATTGCTCACAAAAAAAAAAAAAAAAAATCTAATAAAATGTCCAATACATATGAGAGTCCAATCACGGATGAAATCCCATCTAAATGGGGCTTATTAAAATTGCTGTAATGTACTATTCATATAATCCCAGATGGTAATACTCAAAAAGGTAAAGGGTTACTTGATGTGTTCCTCTATGGAAAACAGGCTGGATGGTTCGCCTCTTTGCTCCTGCTGATCCTGCTATGGATAGATCCAGGTGAGGTCCTCCCTCCAACAGATTTTATCTGCTTTCTCCCTATTACTCCACGTATTACCAGGAGGAAAAAAGAGAGGAATAGTGCCTTATCCTTAGTTTAAATTATATGTTTATTAGTGCCAATTTTGCACTTACAGATATTAAAATAATACAGCGCCTTTAGTGAATGTGATGTGTCCAGCCTAGACGGCGTGCGGACACACACTGCCTGTACTCGCCGTTCGTAGGAGTCGGGTACGTGGTGACGTCAGTGCCCCTCCCCTGACTCACTTAAGTTCCTGAGAGCGACCCATTCTTTCACAAATGTTTGTAGAAGCAGTCTGCATGCCTAGGTGCTTGATTTTATACATCTGTGGCTATGGAGGTGATTGGAACACCTGAATCCAATGATTTGGAAGGGTGTCCAATACTTTTCATGTGTGAATTTTCCTTTTCCGGAAACTAATGCAGATGCCATAGATGGGTCGAAAATCGGCCGATTTTTTCGGCCGAAAATTAGATCGTTACGATTTTGGTCGGCCGTTTTTCGGTATTTTGGCCGGTTTTTTTTTTTTCGGTAAAGAAAAAAAATCGTGCCGATTTTGCCGATGATTTTCAATTACTGGGCAAATCGGCCGATTTTTTTTACCGATAAAAAATCTGCGCATGAGCAGTGACCTGCACAAAAAGAGGATGAGGATGAGGAAGAGGAAGAAGAGGATGAGGATGAAGAAAAAGAGAAACTAGGATGAAAATAAAAGCAGTCCAGAAAAGGAAAGTTGAAGCGAAAGGAATAACAAAAAAGTGTCTTGCAGAGAGCTCCGTATTCTGACAGTTCTCTACAGTTCCTTGACATTCTACAGCGGTTGAAACCTTGTATCTATTTGTTTCCGAATAAAAAACATCTGTATCCTAAATGGAAAACAATAGATACATTGTTTGCAACTTCTATAAATGTCAAGGAACTGTCAGAGAACTGTCAAAGAAATAGCAGACCAGGGAACTTTTTGCCGGCTCTAGACAAAATCGGCCTATTTATTTATATTATTTTATTTTATTTACCATTGATGGTAACGTCGGCCACTTGAACAACCGATTTTTCGTTTTTTAAAAAGCCAAAAAAATCTGCAGTTTTTCTCCCCATCTATGGCCTGCATAAGATGCTGTTAGAGACAACAGATTAGACTCTGTCTACTGAATCGGATCTGTGGCACAAACTAATAAAAGCAGGCCCCTTGTTCTGCTGTGATTCACCACATAAGCCACTGCCATTTTGTTGTCACTTCACATGAAGGCCCTGAAGCAGCCGACCAAAGAATTTCAACATTTTTTACCACTGCCACCAGCTCTAGGCGATTTGGAGGAACGAGGAATGATCACTTTTTTTATCTTCCTTGGGCAATCTAATATTGGCAGTGCGGCCTCCAGCCCTTCAGGCTTGCATTGGTAGTAAGTGGTTATCTTGTGACCAAAAACGACAGTCATTGATGCAAGTTGGCTGACCTTGTCCACTAAGTTGATGCCTGACAAAATGGGGATGGATAATCTCCTGATGAATTAACCTGTTCCACTGTTGGAAAAAAAAAATAATAATTTTGAGGTGTCTGAGATGTGACCTAACCCAGCTAATGGGGGAACCGCTGTGTTCATAAGGCCCAGCACCCTAATGCAGTGTCTTGCTGAAATTGACAGAGCCATCTTTAGAGCTTGAAACATCAACATATTTCTCTCCCTTTGCCATGTTGAACCTTATGCCCTGATAATCCCACTTTTGTGAAGGAGTCAACTGTCTCTTGTCTAAAATGATTACATCCAACGGCCTTGAATACGCTGAGAGTTCTTACTTGATGAGCCAACAACCCCTACTTAGAATCTGCTAAAAGTAGGACATCGTCCAGATAATGGAAAATAATAAATTTTTTCCCAAGGTAACCCAAGGGTCCTGAATCTGTTCCTAACTCAGACATGTGCAAACAGAGACAATCTCGCTCCCACTCATGGAGTCTGGGTGGGCAGATCTTCCAAATGACCTAATTTCTGGTTTGGAGCCTTGAAGACTTGGCCTTCTGACTCTTAGCTGTAGACTGAGGAACTTTCAGGGGCTGCTGCAGATAATCTCTTTCAGATCTTTAGGATCTTTACTGCCAGAACTGCTCTGTGGGATCTTGCTGCAGTACTAAAAGAGAGCTTGCTGCCTCTTCCTCTCCTGTGTAACCATTACCAACAGATGCTTGATGACTAGACTCATCCAAGGTTATACCGAACAGAATCTTGACAACATATGGAACAGTGAATCCAAGCATTGACTGTGCTCTGTCAGCCATCCAATGCTTGAGCCACAGAGCCCCCTTGGCTGCCACTAGTGTTGGTCTTGATGTCGAATCGAACATTGGGTGTTTCGTGTGTTCGTCAATCAAACGAGCGGTAAGGGTGTTTGGCGGGCTGTTTGCCCACCGCACCCCACAATGCACTACGCTCTCACAGTGCATTGTGATTGGCCAAAGCACTGCACCCGACCACAGGTCAGGTGCAGTGCTTTGGCCAATCACAGCTCAATGCACTGTGAGAGTCATAATTGGCCAAAGTCTCGGTGACTTTGGCCAATCATGGCTCCCATTCCAGCAGCCTTGTGTAGTGTGTTGGTGGCCTTAAATGAAGGTAGTTTGTGGTGTGTTAGGAGACAGTGTAGTGCGGTGTTGTGAAGAGCAGTCTTCTGCGTCACCGCTGTTCCCCTTTTTTTTTTTTCCTTTTTTTTTTTTTTTTTTTTTTTTTTTTTTTTTTTTTTTTTTGGCAGCGTCAGGTTTATAGTGCACCAAGCTCATCCTCTGTCACCCAGGCTCATACTAGTTTGCCTTCCATTGCAGCTACCAAAGTGGCCTGTTCCACATGCTCCTTGTCCACAGCTACTCCTTCCGTAGCCCCATCATTATGCTCAGAGGAGTCGCCTGAATTATTCGATCATAGTGTCAGTTCCATGCTGCTGGAGGATATGCAGCAATTTGAATACTCCAATATTGGTTCCCAAGTTGAAGAAAGGAGTGATGCCGCTTGGGCACCCCATGCTTGACAAGACATATGACAACCTGCCATGCAGCCCGTTGGCAACAGCACCTGAAAGACCCACATCATAAAAAAGTGCAGACTTCTTACTCCTCATCTGGGATCTCTAGCCCTACTATACCTCATGTCCTCTCAACAGCCTCCACTGAGAGGGATGATGGTATAGTAATGGGTGCCACAATTCCTTGCACCCAATCTGCTAGCAGTACACCACCTGTTGATTTCACTAGGCAAATTTCACTACCCCAGTTGCTAAACTGTAAAAAAAAAAAAAAAAAAAAAAAAAAAAAATAAAAATACTGTCCCACCCATCCACATGTTCCGCTTCTAAATGTTAGCTTGGCCAAATTGCTAGCATTACAACTGCTGCCTTTCCATCTAGTGGACTCCTTCCTCTTCCGTGAATTTGCAGAATGTGTTATACCACAGTGGCAGGTTCTGAAAAGAAATTTATTTTCACGTAAGGCCATTCCAGTTCTGTACAGTCATGTGGAAGGTAATGTTTTGGCGTTGTTGGACAGGGTGGTCAATAGCAAGGTCCACATTACTGCTGACATGTGGTCCAGCAGACATGGTCAGGCGCATTACATTTCCTTAAAGGCGCACTGGGTAACTCTGCCGGCAGCTGGGATGGATGCAGGATATTGGTTCAGTGCTGGAGCTTGTTCCGCCACCACGCCTCCAGAAAGCTGGTGTTGATTCTGCCACATCTGTCTGCTCCACCCCCTCCTCTTCCTCTATGGCCTCTTCTGCTGAATTGTCCTCTGAACCAGCAGTGCACCCTAAGCATTCAAGGGGCTATGTAAGCAGTCAGGCTAAAAGATGCTATGTGCTGATTCAGCTTGCTAGGGGACAGGAGCCACTCCAGGCCAGAGATTGTCAGCTCTGCAGGGGCAGGCTCAGAGGTGGTTGACGCCACGGCAGCTTGAGCCAGGAATGGATGTACGTGATAAGGGCACCAACTTTCTCTCTGTTTTCCGACAGACACTTGACACATGTTCCATGCTTGGCCACACATCCTGAATTTGGTGGTGCAGAGTTTCTTAAACAGGTACCCAGGCTTACAAGATCTTCTGAGGCAGGCCAGAAAAGTCTGTTGCCATTTCCGGTGGTCATACATGGCCAGTGTTTGGCTGTCTGACATTCAACATGAATTCAGCCTGCCCACCAACCATCTCATTTGTGACATGCCCACCATACATCTTGAGGACGCCTTGAAGAAAAATTTGTGTTACACCTTTCCAGACACTGGGAGGTTACCATTTCTTGGACAACTTGTTTCTGAGGCTTCGTTCGGTCAAAGGAAGAAGGGTGGACAAGGTGGCCAGCTGACGCCGATGACTTTAAACAATTCTTTAGTCTTCAGCGCCCGGGGCTGTTAGGTTTAAGCACCTATCGGCAGCGTCTGCATCATATGGTGCAAGATTATTTGGGCAAGAGCAGACTTGGAGAACTTTCCAACTGAGCATCCACTGAGTTACTGGGTCTTGAGGATGGATCACTGGCCAAAACTAGTTGATTATGCAATCGAGCTATTGGCTTGTCCTGCATCCAGTGTGCTTTCTGAAAGGAGGTTTTGTGACAGATAAGAGTGTGCATCTGTCCACAGACGCTATCGAGCCCCTGATGCTGATGTAACTGAATACATTTTGTTAGGAATCTGGGATCCCTTAAAAACTGCCTATGCTGCCTATCCTATTCCTGAATCCTGATTATGCTAGCTTCCCAACAATTTTTTGGTTTAGGGCACCACCCAACACCCAAGGCCCAATTTTTCTGCGCCTCTGACAGGTGCATGTAATTTAAAAAAAATTTCTTCTAATTTTTAACAGTGCCTATTCCTTTGCCTATAAGCAAGAATAACTGTGAGGGGGTTACAGTATTAAGGCACCACCAGCACCCAAGGACCAATGTTTCCGCACCTGTGTGACAGTACATATAATTTCAGGTTTTTTTTTTTTTAGAGCAGTGCAAATTCCTGCGCTCATCAAGAGTAACTGTAAGGGGTTACAGTGCAGAGACACCAACACCCAAGGCCCATTTTTTTTTCAACACACTGTGTGACAGGTGCATATAACTCTGAAGGGTTATGATGTGAAGGCACCACCAACTGTTCGCCCGCCAAACACCCCACAAAGCACTACGCTCTCACAGTGCACAGTCCCCACCCCACACTATGTAAGTAAATAATAATAAAATCAAAAAATACATTAAAAAAAACAGCATGGGTTCCCCCCTCCCTAATCCAGACCAGGCCCTTTAGGTCTGGTAGGAAGGTTAGGAGGGACCCCACAGTAAACTTTTTTTTTTTTTTTTTTTTTTTTCTCTTTTAAAGTGCGTAGGGTTTCCCCCATAAAAGCCATACCAGGCCCT